GAACTTGGGACCTCCTGGTACTTTTGACCTTTGGAGTTAAGCTCAAACCAATCAGGCATCACTCTTATGGTTGCAAGTTTTTTACTTATGTACATTTTGTTGCTCAAGAATAAAGATCCCTAATTTATTAACTTAAAAGTAGAAACTTCAAATAAAAAGACTAAATATCGTAACACACACATACACACACATCTATAGAGAGGTTCAAACGAGAAGACGGTTAATTTGCAAGAAGACGAAAAGGAATATGGGCAACACAATCTATTAACTAAAAAAATACCATAAATAAAAAATGAAAAATAATTTTAGAAATTAGGATAATTATCATTTTAAATTAGATAAATCCTTAAAAATATCATTATACCTTTTAGGTTTATTTATTTTTCTAATTTTAATTAATTAATAACTTTTTTGTATCAACTTAAAAAAATTAGATACACTTTTGATAAAAGAATTTCACAATTTACATCAAATATCACTTGTGATATCTACGATCAATTCATAAGTTATAACTGTAGATATTTTTATTAACCATATATGATTATGTATAATTTACGGTTATAGATCTTTTTTGATGTAAATGTTATCACATGTGATAATACGTCATTTGTATTCAGATATATATTATCATATGTGACACACACATGCACACACACATACATACACGTGAATCATTGAAAAAATTCGGAAAAAAATTTACTTTGAAATTTTTTATGAGAACCGACATTATAAATTATTCTTGGGTTCACATGTAAATTTTCAAATAGATTTTTTCTGTGATTTACATATAAACATTATTTTAACCTTCTCATAATATTTAGCCTTCTTATTTAAATATAGATTTGGGTTTTGTGAGAATAAGAGTTATGGTGACACGGTGAGAACAAAACCTTCATATACATCCATAAACCTTTATTTATCTATTTTTATTATCATGAACAAAACTTTAATAAATTCATATATGTGAAAATGATTAAATATGTGTAAAAGTTTGTGAAAGTGACTAAAAATGAAGATAAAGATAGATGGAGGAAATTGAAGATGGTTGGAAGTACTACAGATACTTGAACGGAAAATGAAGTTAGATTAAGAATACCATAACGATTATTTCATACGATCCCACGTGTGTATATATATATATATATATATATGTTTGAGTTCCCGTAAGAAATATCATTTTCCGTAAGAAATGTGAGAAATATAACATTCACATATATATATATATATATATATATGTTTGAGTTCCCGTAAGAAATATCATTTTCCATAGAAATATCATTTTCCATAAGAAATGTGAGAAATATAACATTCACATAAGATAGCTTAACATATGGCAAGGGTTATGAAGCCAATAAAAGACATATTAAATGTTGTCATCATGGTGTTCTCTAGCTGATCCGTCGCTGATATATTCCCTCGTTGATCCGTCGCTGAAAATATCTCTCGCAACTCCCTCGCTGATAGCATTACCTACGAGCATTTGACCGACGGAGTATCAACGACGGATGACCCTTTTAGCGACGGATTTGCGAGAGAAATTTCCTTTGCTGATACTCTGCATTTTTGTAGTGAGAAACATATCAGTTTTTGAGGGAAAGGATACGGCAAGTTGCCTTATTGTTAGCGAGGTGCAGTTTCAAGTTTTTTTTTTTTTTTTTTGGATTAGGAACAGGCTCAAAAAAGGGTCCAAATTAGACTGGAATATTTGGTGTAATGACCCTGGTAACACTTGTAATGATCTGATTTACTCCTAGCTTTTCACTAGTTCTATTTTCTTATAAAATTTTCCCGTTCCAAAAAAATAAGCTTAACCTTCACTCGTTATATGTGAAGGTATCCGTATTTTGTGTGAAGGTGCACATTCAAGTCTTTTAACCTTCATTAATTTCACATAATATAATGTAACATTCACACAATATAAATATACTTTCATCACTTCGTATATTTTTCAACTAAAACAATTCTCATATGATCCCACTTCATATGTTTGTGTATGTGTGTATAAATGAACTTGTGTTCGATCATTTCGGTGATAATTTGTATATTTATTTTGTTTTCCCTAATGAAAATGGTGTATTCGTTACTACCCTCGGTCCTTGAATACGACAAGTTTATTGATTCTTATTGTAAGATATATAAAATGTGAATCTCTTGAGCGAGAATGTGAAGGTTCGCGAGGTCAAAGAGATCCAACGACTAAGAAGATGGTCTCATGGAAAATTACTCTCAATCTTTCACGTGTTTGTGTCTTTTAAGTATAAACGTATTTTTGTATTTTTCTTTCACACACAAAACACTCCTTGATGTTCCATCTACGAAATAACACTGTATGAACACTATATATATATATATATATATATATATATATAGGGAGCGATCAAATGAAAACCGTTCCCATTTGTGTAAACCATGTAAACCAATCTCATCCATCCATTTTCTTGATCAATGGTCAAGATTAGTTTAGTTTATTTAGGAAATTAAAAAATATATATTAAAAAATTTATTCTATAATAGCGAGAAGGGCAAGATGGTAAACTCAACCACATTTTCATCATGCACCCTATTATGGTAAATTCATCACCCTATTCATCATGCACCATATTTCACTTGTCCAATGAGATTGTTCACGCACTCATATCATCATGCACCCATTTCATGTTGTACCCATTTCATCATGCACCATTTCATAATCATTTTCACTTACTCCATCACCAATGTCACTATGTATGAAACCGGTTTCATCATGCACCCATTTTATAATCATTTTTCACTTACTCCATGCATCAATTTCATCATGTATGAAACCGGTTTCATGAATATTTTTTTTCTATTACTGATTTCATGGATTTATTAATCTAATAACTTACGATTTTAATGAATTTTGGCAATAATATACCAAGACACAATATAAGAAAATCAAATTTTTAATATTATAATTTAATTAAATATTTAAATGTTACAATTTATAAAATTTTCTTTATTATGTTACCTTAATTAAGATTTATTAATAACTTCCATATTTAATGGAAAACAATGCAAATGACCAATATATCTTTAATGATTAAATTTAATTAGAAAAAAAAAATGGAATTTTCCTATTGGTCGAAATTAGTTTACACGGTTTCTAAGAATTGCACAGTTTTCATTTGAACATGCCCCCCTCTCTCTCTATATATATATAGTTTCTATCTTTTAGCCGATTTTTATTTGTTTTTCCCCCATAATGTATATTTATTATTACAAATGTATTACATGTATTAGATATATAAAAATATATGTATATATATTATATTAATATTTACATTTTATATATATATATATATATATATATATATAGGGTTTATTTCAAATACAACATATCGCATTTGTACAATCAATGCAACCCAATAAATTGAAATATTTATGGAAATAATTAGAATTCATTTATTATGATTTAAATACTTATGGAAGATGAATACGGTTCATTAATTATGATTAATACTTTATATTAGAAAATAATCAAAACATCTATAAAATCACATATTAATCAAATGAAATGGACGATTGAGGTTGGGTTGTATTGGTTGCACAAATGACAAGGGTTGTATAATAACCAACCTCTATATATATAGAGGAGCGATCAAATAAAAACCACCCTCATTTGTAAAAACTGTACAAACCACTCTCATACGTCGATTTCATTGTTTAATCTTATGAAAATTTTTCATGAAATTGTTTAATCTTGTGAAATTGTTTCATATAATACTTTTTTGATGAAGTTGCTTCATATGTGGTTATGAAATTGTTTCATATACTACTTAATGAAACTGTTTCATGTATTTCTCTAAAATTAAAATAATGAAGATGATAATATTCATGATTAACACCTTCCACAATAAAAATGGTTAATCAACCTCTCATAATTACAAAAAAATAAACAAAATGAAAAATTATGATTGGTTGAATGAGGTTTTCACGGTTTTTACAAATTAAGTGGTTTTTATTTAAACGTTCCCATATATATATATATATAGAGAGAGAGAGAGAGAGCATTAATGATTTCTTCCTCCACATAATATAACTATATAAGTTAGATAGAAAATTTGGTATGCAAGTATTGTACAAAGGAGAATGAGAAAAAGAAAACAAAGAGAGCCATCTAACAACTCCTTGAAATGAAGTAGCTATTGAATGCTTCAAGAAATCAAGAGGATATCCAACATCAAACCCAATTCAAGTAAAACGATAATTCGGAATCCGAACAAGAAAATTGGTAATTAGCCGAAACCTTCAAGCCGAGTGAGATCAAACCGTAAGCAACTTATTAAACATAACGAACAACAACGAAGCTGCAAAAGCCCGCAATGATCCTCTTTATTACGATCAAAATCTGCTAATCACGAAACGATCATACATAAGAATGCCAATGCACATAATAAAGATAGTAGCTAGATATGAAAATGAGTAGCTTGAAGAAGTAACTTCTCTGTGGGAAATACAACTACAAATAGGCAGTGACAATTTATGGGGTTTTGACAGTTTTAATCCAACACTATACACACACAGTTAACATACTCAGAAGCTTGAACATCACCATAACCAATCTCTCTTTCAGAGTAATCAGACATTGCTGTACTGGTATCAATCAAATCTTTAAGGGTGATATATGCTTAAACTTTCGGGTTTTTTATTTTCGTTTCATATAAAGAAAAACTAGATAGCAATCTCTCTTTCTCTCTTTCTCTCTCTAGGAGCAATAAAGACTCCAATCCTCCATTAATGCAGTTTCATATCCTCTCAACATTGTGCATTAACTCCTCCTTAGGCTGTCATCTCTTCAATTCTCTAACCTCTTCCTTTCCTTCACCCTCTTCTCTCTCTCTCTCTCTGACTTCTATTCACAATAAATTAAGAAATCGTCTCTCAAATTCCGCCTGAAAACCACTCTTTTTCACTCTCTTGAAAGTGGGTTTTCTTCTCATTCTTGTCTGAATACCGGATCTTTCACTGTAAGCTTCATAAGCAAGATAGAAACGGGTAAGTGGGTTTAGTATCATATCCTTGTTTTAGGCGATCATCGTTTACATTTCACCTGAAAACCACACTCCCATGTTTTGAATGTTCTTAGTTGAAAGAGAAACTAGTATGTGAGATTGAAAAGATTATGGTGTTTCATTTCGTGTATCTTATTTTGATACCTTTTACTTATTTGGGGCTGAAATTTATGGCATTTGGTCTTTGCCATAGATTGCGTAAAAGCATAGACAGATGGGTTGTAAACTGTCTTTGTTTGTTAAAATTAGTCCTAAATGTGTTAGCAATTGTTGGTTCAACCCTTCTCTTTCTGTGTTGTGTGTGTGTTTTTGTGTGTGTGTGTGTGTGTGAGAGAGAGAGAGAGAGAGAGAAGTCTTGAAAAGAATTAGAAGTCATTAGAAAGTTGACTTTTGTTCAAAGAATGGAGAGATCTCTTCTGCTCCAATAAATATATCAATGTCGTTTGTAAACATGTGTGCAAATTTCTAGTCAAAATCTACAAGTCTATGCTCCTCTCTCTTCTTTATTCTGTTTAATCTGAAAAGTGAATTAAGATTTGCAATTAATTAGCTTTATTTATCAAGAACTTCATGAGCTTTAATATATTGGAAATTAATGGCGGTATCATGTATTATATAGGTTTATATACCAGTTTCTAGCAGAAGAAGCTTTGAAAAGAGTAGATATGTTTCAGCCAAGCATGTTTGAGAGTCATCACCATCACCATCTTCTTGATCAAATGAGCCATAAAACCCCAGAAAACAGTCTTGATATGCTTAGAGATCATGATGACCATGATAGCAGATCCGGGACCGATATCATCGAACCTCCTTCTGGCGATGATCAAGATCCGAATCAACGTCCCAACAAAAAGAAACGTTACCACCGCCACACTCAACACCAAATCCAAGAAATGGAAGCGTAAGCTATTCGTTTCCCCTAATCTTTTCTATTTCGTTTTCGGTGGTCTTGACTGATAGGTGAGACTTGAATTCATCCGATGTCGATTGTATATTACTTCTTTCTTTTAAGAGAAAAAGGGTTTGAGATTTGCCTTAGAGCTTTCTTGATCTTTACTGTTTAAATACCATATAGGTTTTTCAAAGATTGTCCCCATCCAGATGATAAGCAAAGAAAGGAACTTGGCAGAAGATTATCCTTAGAGCCTTTGCAAGTCAAATTTTGGTTTCAGAACAAACGAACTCAAGTGAAGGTAAGAAACTAGCACAAAACACACATTCAATTTGTAGTATGAATGTTCAGACTACTTCAATTTATATGATAATAATAACATATGAACTCGAATCACCATTCATTGATCATCAGAAGTGAGTTATTAGAGCCAACAGGTTCAATAAGGTACATCTAATAATGTCCCATGCTATTTTCTTATCATCGCACATGGACAATATGTCCATTTGTTGGTCGAGAGGGCTAATGATCCCACATATGATGCATAGTTTGATAACCTACACAATAGGAGCTAATACACGTCTCGAGTCTAATGCTCCTATTTGATGATTATAGACAAGCATCGATTACTTCAGTACTCGGTTTGAGTTAGAACCCACTACTGACTATACTTGCATTCAGTGATGAGTACATACAATCCGTTGCTCGTCATCTATTGGTTTCATCAGTTAGAAGTCGAATTTTGACTACATACACTTGCACTTCCATGTTTGTAATCAAACAAGCAACATTATACTAAATAAATTTGTAGCTGCTCAAATTGTGCCTTTTCTTGTTTTGCTCTTAATAAGGCTCAGCATGAACGCTACGATAACACAAACCTGAGAAATGAAAATGACAAGCTTCAGGCGGAGAATATGCGGTACAAGGAAGCCCTCGCCAACACCACCTGTCCCAACTGTGGTGGACCGGCTTCTATTGGAGAAATGTCTTTTGATGAACAACAACTGAGGATTGAAAATGCTCGTCTACGCGAAGAAGTATGTTAGATCTTTTAATTACCCGAAGAAATACTATTTCTTGACATAGTAAATGGGGTTTGTGCACTTTCTATAGTTTGTCGAAGTTAATTTCTTTCGGTTTTTTCACAGATTGACAGGTTATCTGGAATTGCTGCCAAGTTTGTTGGCAAGTCATCACTGATTTACCCTGATCTTTCACCTCATGGACCATCTCGTTCCCTCGACTTACCTACTAATTTTAGTCCACAACACGGAATGGTAGGAGAGATGTTCGGAACAAGCGACCTTCTCAGATCCATGGCTGGCCCTACTGAGGCTGAGAAGCCTATTATTATTGAGCTGGCTGTGGCAGCCATGGAAGAACTAATTAGAATGGCTCAGGTTGGTGAACCCTTGTGGGTTCCAATCTCAAATAACTCATCTCAAGAGACCTTAAGTGAAGATGAGTACCAGCGGGCATTTCCCAGAGGCATTGGACCAAAACCAATGGGATTGAAAACTGAGGCTTCAAGGGAATCCATGGTTGTCATCATGAATCATATGACTCTTGTGGAAATTCTAATGGACGTGGTATATAATTTACTGAATATATTTTTGGGAAATTCATTAAAATATTCATTTTCACACTTTGGATTCATTTCGTAGTCATTTTTCTCCCAATATTTCAAAAACAACTCATCTCAAGAGACCTTAATTAGTAATGATTTTGAACTCTTTAATATAATCATGGTTTTCAGAATCAATGGTCAAATGTGTTCTGTGCCATTGTTTCAAGAGCAACGACTCTGGAAGTGCTTTCAACTGGAGTGGCTGGTAACTACAATGGAGCTCTGCAAGTGGTAAGAGAATCAATCATTCAAAACCTTCTGGAGTTATACGTTAAAACCAGAAATGTCTTTGTATCTACACTTATATCTAACCACTACGTTTGATTAACTATTCTAGATGACAGCTGAGTATCAGGTTCCTTCACCACTGGTTCCAACTCGAGAAAACTATTTCGTTAGGTACTGTAAACAACACGCTGATGGGACGTGGGTTGTGGTCGATGTATCCTTAGATAGTTTGCGCTCTTCTTCGATATCAAGATGTAGAAGAAGGCCCTCTGGCTGTTTGATTCAAGAACTGCCCAATGGCTATTCCAAGGTACACCTCCTGTTAACTTCACATCAAAAATTAATCTATTAGTTCTGATTGAAGAAATAAATACTATGAGAATATTTGGAACCCCATATCACTCTCCAAAAGTGCCCTTGAGGGGAGAAAAAGAAGGTTCCACCATATATAGAGAAGAATTTGTCCAAGTGTAGCTGATGTAGGACTCTAACACGCCCCCTCCAACCGAGGCTAGATGGGCAAAGATGTCTTAGAGTGTCGAAAGGGGTTATGCGGGCAAAGATGTCCCAGAGTGCTAAGTCTTGGGCAAAGATATCCGAGATGGTAGAACTTGGCTCTAATACCGTGTGAGAATATGTGGAACTCTCATATCACTCTCCAAAAGAGACCTTGAGGAGAAAGGGGAGGTTCCAACAAAAGAGACCTTGAGGAGAATTGGTCCAAGTCTAGCGACGTGGACTCCACATAGGCTAGACTTGAACAAATGCTCCTCTATATATGTTGGAATCTCCATTCTCTCCTAAAGGCTCTTTTGGAGAGTAATACGAGAGTTCAACATATTCTCACATGATAGGGACTTGACACTAGCCTAGGCTAACCCCTCTCGACACCCTGGGACAATTTGTGTCCATCTAGCCTCAGTTGAAGGTGGTGTGTTGGAGTCCCACATTTCTCCTCAAGTGCTCTTTTAAAGAGTGATATGGGGGTTCCACGTATTCTCACAAATACAAATATGAAAGTAAGTGGACTTCATGAATTCATGTTTGATTTTCATTTTCTAGGTAACTTGGGTTGAACATGTTGAAGTTGATACCGGGGCCGTTCATGATATTTATAAGGTACTAGTTAACTCTGGTCTAGCATTTGGTGCAAAAAGATGGGTAGCAACTTTAGATAGACAATGCGAACGGCTTGCAAGCGCGATGGCTAGCAATATTCCTGCAGGAGATGTTGGAGGCAAGTCCATTTCTACTAGTTCACGTTCTATTCTTTCCTAGTATTCGAAGTAATTACGATCTGTTCTAGTATCCTTCGATAAAATAAATGATTCTCTTCTTCTTCTTCATTCGTTCAATAGTTATAAGCAATCCAGAAGGGAGAAAGAGTATGCTGAAACTAGCTGAGAGAATGGTTTTGGGTTTCTGCACTGGGGTTGGTGCTTCTACTGCCCATACATGGACGACTTTGTCGGGTAGTGGGGCAGATGATGTTCGGGTAATGACCCGAAAGACTACAGATGACGCAGGCAGGCCTGCTGGTATTGTGCTATGTGCTGCAACTTCATTTTGGTTACCAGTTCCTCCTAAACAGGTTTTTAATTTTCTTCGGGACGAGAATTCTAGGATCGAGGTAATGAAATCTTTACTACCATTATGCATAAATAGTAAAATCTAATAAAGATCATATACCTAACAAGTACCTGAAGGTAACTCATCAATTCTAATGTTATATATCCATTATCCAGTGGGACATCCTTTCAAATTGTGGTCTTGTTCAAAAAATAGTACACATTGCCAATGGTCGTGATCCGGGCAACTATGTTTCCCTTCTGCGCATTAACGTAAGTTCTAGAATTATACAGAACACAATTAATTGTCTTTATATATATAATCAGATCCGATGACTTTCAACTTGTGTACATCGCAGAGTGCAAATTCAAGCCAGAGCCACATGCTTATATTACAAGAGAGTTCGTGCGATTCTACAGGTGCATATGTTATATATGCCCCAGTAGATATTGCGTCGATGAATGTTGCATTAAGTGGGGCTGATCCTGATTGTTTCGCCTTGCTACCATCTGGTTTTGCGATACTTCCTGATGGACCTGGACAGTATGAAGGAGGAGATCTTGACGTTGGAACTGGTGGATCGTTACTCACCATCGCATTCCAGATTTTAGTTGATTCAGTTCCTACATCAAAACTATCTCTAGGATCAGTGGCAACAGTTAATACTCTTATTAAGTGCACAGCTGAAAGGATCAAAGCTGCAGCAGCTTCTCATAATCTATAAATAAAATTAGAGGTGTTTTATATGGTAAGATAGTTATGATGATCAACCTCACTTGATTACATTGGATTTCAAAGTATTCAATTCTAATATATGTTCCCTTATCACGGGTTTCGATTGTGGTTATCGCAATTTGATCTAATATCTATACATTTGTGTACATTGCAGTGGCACAAAGGGAAGAGGGAGAAAGACTTAATTAGGCAGGTGATGCTATTCTCTTTATCTTGCGAAACAGATGGAAGAAGTCAAGAACGCACCTTGAACGATCCCTGTGCATCCGGGGATGGCGGGTTAATCTGATGCAATATCAAGAAAGCATTTTTATCGTTCATCGAAGGTTATAGGTTCGGGTATTGACTTTGCCTATCTTAAAGATTAGAGAGTAAACATAGACCTTGTCAAGTAAGTTCTAGTTAAATCTCCAAAAACTTTGTTTTGCTTTAGGATTTCATTAGGGTTTTCTGGTTATATGTGTTTTGAACTAGAATACAACCGGTAGCCTGCAGGAAGCTACCGGCAACTCCTTTTAATTTCATCGTAGCTTTTTTTGATCGGTGTTGCGCTTGGCTTGATCCTTATCTTAGGAAATAAATTAATTTCAGGTTATTACTTTTATGAATATTCGAAGTTTCTTGTGAAGTTTTCGCTATACATGCATAAAAATCGGCTTCAAGGTTAGAAAAGCTCATGATAACAGACATATTGTACCGTATACGCACACAATTGATCAGATCGACCCTACGACTCTTTGGTATATGCGTAGATTGCAAGAATGCACCCCAATAGAAGATATTGTCTGTATAACCAAATCTTAGAATTTTCTTAAGAGAATGGAAAGGAATCGAAAACGCTTTCAAGAAGTTGTTACTAATCTTTGTTTACATCTCTTCGTTCTTGAACATGATCCCTTGATAATTGTTTAACGCGCGCATGCTTATAATCCCCAAACATCAAAGCTTAAGTGGTTTAGGTCAGGATGGGCTTAACTCAAAACCGTTTCTAATCCGGCCCCTGATATTTAGGTATCTCTGCATTAGTTACTCCATTAATATCATCGGAGATGTTAATAATTAACCACATTAAGGGTGCGTTTAATACGCAGACAAAACATGACAGAACAGAACGATAGAGAGGATAGACTCAAGATCAAAAAGAAGGCAAATGAAAAGTAGCCAGAGAATGATATAGTTGATTTGGCCAAATCTTTCATGATGTTCATGCTCTTGAACAATAAGTAAAAAGCTTAGATTTATGTAAACAAAATCCACTCTAGAGTTTTGTGATTTATGGTGGTTACAAAATTGTACGAACTGAACCGACACTACAACAAAAGTGGGTTTATAGGACACTCTCAATCTCTAAGTGTCCCAATAAACCGTTTTATAGGACTTAATTTATAGGACCAAAATATAAAGCGTCTTATCTAAAGGTGTTGTAATAAGTTTATATGACGCTTTTGGGCGTCTTAACAAATTTTTTAGGACATTTTTAATACAAAGTGTCGCATTAGCAACTTTATAGGACATTTTTTAGAAAGTGTCCTATAAACTCAATTTTTTATAGGACATTTGTTTTTATGGGACAGTTTTTCAAATAATGTTCTATAAAGTTGATAATGAAACGCTTTATATTAAAAGTGTCCTAAAAAACTTATTACGACGTCAAAAAAGGTCATATAAACTTATTACAACACCTTTAGACATTTACCGGGCCAAATTTGACTTTGGCATGCATTCAATTCAAAGTGATTAGTTTTTCCATGATCTGAAATCACCATAATCGGTTAAAATTTTCCTAACTATAAGATTATAAAAACAGAAAACGTGTTTGTACATATTACAAAGGGTCGATTCTGTGAGATCTGAATTTAGAATCTTTACAGACACACACGGTAATTAACCTGAAATATGAACGTGAATTCTAATGCAACAAGTTCATATTCAATAGTTTTTTCATTCAAACTTTATATAGTTAAATAAATTTCAAATTCTCCAGCAACTCTGCCGATCTGAGAATCGAGGGTTCGGTATGATTTCTTTTTTTCCCCTCTAAACCGGATTGTTAACAATGTAATATTCAAACTTGATACTTTTACCTTATTCCTAGCAAATCCTAGCTTACATAGCAAATCGATCCCAACAAAGCGTCAACTTCAGTATTTCAAAATTGAAAAAATATGGTCAATCTAATTGCTTCCACAATTAGGGTTAGGGTTAGGGTTAGGGTTATATATATATACATGATCTCTAATTCTTATAGTTTTGTATTCTCTTTTACCTCCCATCATCAGTAGAACGAAACAGATACATACATACAGGGTGAAAGATCAAGAACTCATCGGTTACCTCTTTAATGGATCAAGGTGCCGCTTTCGTGATTTTATATAACAATTAATTTAATATATGTCGTCTCTAGTTTTGGATCAGATCTAACAAGTGGTATCAACGCTTACTTCATATTCAATCAATTGGTGCTTGGTTCGATTAATGACATTCATACCGTCGGTCGGAATGGGATGGCATAGCCTTAAAATTAAGGGCGAGATTCAAACTCCCATTTTAAATCAAGAGATAGATAAATAGACATATCCCATTTTGGTGTTTAGTCTTTCTGGTGAAGTTTGTTAGAAAAATTCTGTTAAGTGACGGACATTTTGACTTCGTTATCTTTACTCTCATTTCCCATTAAATAATATGACGTAGAGTAAATTTCGAATATATTTGGTTCTGAAGTCACTTTCAACGAAATTGGTCCATACTCCACTCATTACAAATTTGCCACCAATGTACGTAAAATCAATTTGCTCCGGTCCCTCCCACTAATGAGGACCAACATGGACATTTTATATATATACTAGAAGCGTACCGCGCAATGCAGCGAGATACATCGTGATTTTAATATTTCATTTTATTCTTTATCTTAGTCGATGTTATAATATGACTTTATATGATTTTGAGAAAGCGATGATGTTTTTATTTTTGAATAAAATATATGTTTGAAGATATCATAAAAATTTGACAAAAATATATCGATATTAGTATCA